AGGCTGATCTGCGGGATAACTGGCGGCTGCTTTATCTGTAAGGTCTGAGAACTTTTCTAGTCAAGGCTTTTTCTTACCGCCTGCCAAACCTCAGACTAGAAGAGCTTAATAACTATATTAGATAAATACTTAAACTAGATATTTCAGTTTCTCTATGATTTGCGCATAAAGTACTACTTAACCTACTTATTTACCTGCCATATCCTTATATAGATATTATAAATATCTTTAATAACTTTCCACTATTAACCATACTCGATATATAGGAGACTATTACCTACAACCAACCTCTCGTTTATATTACCTCTAAAACGCCATTTATCCCAGTTAAACTTACCTAAGAGCTACCAGCCTAAACCATAGTCCTTTAATATTCTATTTAATCTAAGGCGTTCTTGCTTAACCTTAGAACTTTAATATTGGCCACTTTGCGAGGTAACTTGTTTACTCTATTGCTAATAATCTTTTCAAAGTATTAATTCTTTAGTAATAATTCCAGAAGTTATAAAATGTAAGCTTTAAAGCGCTAATATTATAATAACAGTTTCAGGCAGAGAGTACCATGCCCTAGCTTAGGATTTAATATATTTAAAAAGAAAGCAATATTTATTAATAATACTATATAAGAAACGCATTATAGTAGTTAAAGGGATAGCAAAAAATAGAAGTTCTTAATCTTAATATACTATAATAGGATTAGATTAACACGTAGATTCTAAAGAATCAGAATATAAGAGGATAAAGTCAAGTAGCTTTACTAAGACTTAATCTTCTGCTTAAACCCTATAACTAAAAGGGACTGACACATTGCCTTTATCATCTTAAACTAAGCTTACTCTTACCTGTAGTTTACTTAAACGATAGGCCAGACTAAGCAAGGCTTGATTGGCATAACTTCCTTAAGTGGATCTTTCGTAGTCAGCTACGTATGACAGATCGAGAGCCATCTTTTCGAGTTGATGATTCTGAAACGGGTATTGCTTAGCAGTATCGAAAGGAATCTTGACAAGGTTATAGAATTGACTGTATATGAGACCCTTACCGACCTCTCGGCTCTTATCTGCAGGCTGTATTGTTATATTAATCGTATTACGTAGTGTAAACCTGGGGTATTTGATGAGCCGAAGAGGAACAGACCGGGACTTTGAGGTCGCTATGTCTTCGAGCGAGCTGCATACAAATGGATACATAGCGTTATACTGACTGCTCTATGCTTGTTGTTGTCTCCATAGTTGCTTCGGACAGCATCGTCGCTACATGAGGACGTTGGCTTCGGCGATAGATCCAATGCGAGGAGTATATTGGCGCCTAATATCGACGTCTGTATCAGAAGGATCAAGAAATGCCTGATCTATAGCATTCTGCCACTAACTACGCCAGGCTCGAATTGTTTGCCTGATATCGGTGTTCATGTAGACAAGTTTGAGGTTTTTGGCACCTAGATATAGTTTTATACCGGCGAATTGGGGGTATATTGCCGCACGAGTATGAACTCCTTCCTATATGGCCTTAAGATGTTTATTCTGGAGGATGTAAGAGAGCGAAGTACTTCTCCTACCCTGACCGAGTATTCCAAATTCTGCATTCATATCTAAGAGCCGTTTAGTGGAAATTCCTTCTTGCTGAGCATGAGAGTTAGTCTAGGCAATGTTGAGGTTCTTAGGAATATACTGGAGTATATTTAGGTCCTGTACCGCAGCTGCGATAGCTAGAAACAAAACATGATCATACCAGCAAGAGTATTGGTCCCGGGCAATGCAGGTTCGTTTCAAGGGTTCCTCTTATGAAGTCTGTATATATAAGGCTAGAAAGAAAATCCATATAAACGTATTAGTTAACCCCTAGACTTATCTAAAACAATAGTTAGGAACGTGGTGCAGGGGTTGCCGATGTGGAGAGCTTCCCCTAGAACAGGTACCTAGCCTAGTAAAGCTGTTATTCGAAATGTCGATACTAAAGTATATATTGTCTATGTGATTGAAGATTGTATATAGCTGGGGATACTATTGGATACTAAATTTAGCAACGGTAAGTGATAAAGGAAAGCTATAAATGCTATTAATATTATAAGTTCTCTGGAGGAAATCCTCTGCAAGTGGATTCTCAATGCTATGTCGTTTTGAGAGGCAGAGGCTCGGTGGCGTACCCCTATTAGGCGCTCCTTCTAACGCTATCTGGCATGCTTCCCGATAGTCATGGCTACATATGTTGTTTAGGGGAGGCGAGTTTCGAGAGGTTCCCTTATTATTAGCAGGTTCAGTATATTAGGTATGACTCAGAAGATCGAACGAAGGATCCATTATGTTTAGGAGTGGGTGACGGTTATTTTCATTACCGATTAAGCTATTAAGCCGGGCGATAATATCGTTGAGAGAATTATAAGACTGATGATATTTGTTTTTTGCTAGTTCCTTATGGTCTTCCTTATGTGACTGTCTCGAGCAACTAGGGTGTTCGGTCTATTCTCTTGCAAGATAACGTTCAAGTGAGGGAACTGTCTGCTCCTCGTAAGAAGTATCTAATAATCGATGGTCGGGTTTGGAGACTTCTTTACTAGATGATAGAGTGTCGAAATCTTATTAAAGATCATCTATAGCCGTGGTCAGCGCACGTCTTGTACCATTTTTAATAAATATAGTATAGGATAATGAAAATACCTAGGGAGGCTGTCGGGGAAATATGGAGGCCCTTCCCGAATGCTTCGAGGAGCTCTTGAATTTCGTCACCTTGTTCGGATTGATGATTTCTTATGTATTTAGTAGGAAGATCCGAGAATAACACCTGATAGTCTCTGGTACTTGCGCTCGAAGCAGTAGATTTATGGCTAGTAGTGCTATTACTATCAAACAGACAGTAATCACCTAGATCATGACTAGGACTATCATGAGCCGCAGTGTTGCCGTTATATAAAAGAGAGCTAGGTTGTCCTGGGCCCCCATAACTAAGGTCAAGTGGTAGGTAGGAGTTATTTGGTAAGATGATGTGTGGTGGCAATTGGGCCATGGCTGATGAACTGGTTGGAACATGAGGGATATGCTGATAGTATCCGGTGAATGACAAAGATTCTCCTTTATCTTGTTGTTATATACGTTGACGGTACTTTTGCGAATGCTCCCGTTGGGCGGCTAGCCGCTCCTCTTCCGTGTGTACTTTTCGGGGTTGTCCCTGACATCTTGGTGGTTCCTTAAGCATATTATGTTCGTATTGAACGAAGTAGATATGTTAGATGGAGAAGAGATGGTTTCTTCTGTGTGGATGGTCTAAGCGATGCTGAGTTCCCTAGTAAAAGTTATTAGGCGGTTGTTTATGAGGTTTGTAGAGAAGGTAAGCAAAAACGTGTTTCTAATAAGATAAGAAAAACCAAGCGGAGGTAAGGCGATGTATTATTAATGCACTAGGGGGTTATTTTATAACGGGAATCAAGCATTTTTATAAAGGATTACAATTTCGGCAGTTATTTTCTTAAGTAAATAAAGTTTAGTGGCTTATTCGTGAAGTGATAGGATAATACCCTTATCAAATGATCTAAGAATAAATCCTACAGTCCTTTCCGGTATTCTTTATTGCAAGATCAGCTTCTAATAGTACAGAGAAAGCCTTTATGGGCGATAGAACTACTTATAAACCTCCTCTCCAGCCTGGAAGTAGTTAGAGATCTCGAGATAAATCGATCTATCACCTCTGGTTATCTATCGTGGTTGCTATCCCGTCACACTATGTTCTTTAGGTAAGCCAATCATATGCGGCATCATGAAGCTATTCCTCTCTTGAATATTTCTGACGATAATACTATTCTGCTTTCGATTTTTTCTGACATTGCGAATCTGCGCTTTTCCTATTTAGATTTTTCTAACGCAGGACTTCCTTATATTAGCGAGCTTTTTATTAACCTTTAGTCAGAAAATCATTACAAACTCTTATAACTCGTGCTACAGAGCTACAAAAAATGCGGGATAGAGTCAAGGTCAATCGTCGAAGCTGCTTCTACCTTCAACTTCATTTTTATATTGTGTTAATAAACTTTTGTTCTCTGAATAGCCCGTGATCCCGAACCCCAACATTGCCATATGAGAAATTAAATTCTACTCCCCTATAAAAACTAATTCTACCCTAGGTTATTTAATATAAAATAAATAAATTCTACGTAGAATTAATGTTGGTATAGAGCACTAGGCGAGGTCTCTGTCAGGAAAGCTCTATATTATAGCTGCAAGATCGGCAGTCGGAGTTGGTCATCTGACCATGACGAAGTTACCGGGAACAAAAGACTCCTTCGTTTCCCCAACTTCTTATCTCTGGAGATGGCAGGGAGTCCTGGTTTAGCAGCAATGCCAAGCCTGGAGGATGAGTCGTGAATCGTCGGGATACAGATATATGCCCCGCCTGGAAGGCGAGATGAGGAAAGGATCACCATCACAGACGATTTCACTGATGTGTTGATAGCAACTTTCTGATAAATTTACGAAAGGCGATATAGCATTATCTTGGATCGTTGAACTTAAGGCGTAAGTGCCCAGAGAGAGTGCAATTATACATCTTGGTGACGCTCTACGATTGTGTCTAAGATAATTCATACTTTAATAAATAAATCTTTACTTAAATTATTTAAGCAATACCAAGTCTCCAGTACTAATATTTTATATTCTTCACGTCATGAATAAGTATTGGTCAATCCTGTTAACCTTATAAATAAGCTAATTACGAGCGAAGCACAGGCCTTGTGTATCTATCCACATACTGTCCTAACCACCCGGTATCTGGTTTTGAAAGTGCTTTGGTTCATGCCACTGGCTCTTGACGTCTCGCGTTTCTTACCTAAAACTGGCAGGTTAAATGAGACAACAATCCAGTGGTCTTGTCTTGATTTCTTAGTGTCTACAGTCCCAGTTTTCCTCGTCAGTAAGAATTATTATTGGCGTACAAATCTCAAAAGGCAATGCGGGGTACAAGCTTCAGGCATTTATAGGCATGCCGATCCCAAAAGTAGAACCCGCTGGCATGTTGACATCTCGTAGGCCTGGAGAATCCAATCGATATAGCTTGCCACGTTTGAAAAAGGCCTTTATCAAGCTTGGTCGTTTTAAATAAGGCTAGAGGCATCTGATCTGACGCTTAGAACGTCTTCGGAAACCTACTAGACATTCGGGCCCATCGATTCTCTATCATGTCGTCAAAGCCATTTCCTCCGCCGAATGGGATGCCATCATTTTGGCGCGGCTCTCCGGGGTCACTTGATAACTACAGATCGACAGAAGAACTGCCCTCTCAATGCGACATTCTCATCATCGGGGCAGGATATTCTGGCGGTTCGCTCGTTACGCACATGCTATCGCAGCCCGAATCGAGAGATAAGTCCATTGTTGTTTTGGAAGCTCGCCAGCTGTGCTCAGGAGCTACGGGACGAAATGGTTAGTTACCGCCACTCTCATGTTATCGACAGCCTCTCTAATGCTACCAGGGGGTCATATCAAGCCTGATGTATACAACCTGTGCTCAAGTATGGCCTCAAAGTATGGAATCGATTCAGCCGCTGAGATTGCCGATTTTGAGCTTGCAAACGTCGAGGCTGTCAAGAACTATGTTCTAGAGAATAACTTGGACTGCGATTTTGTCCTGACGCAGGCTGTTGATGTCCAGTTGTCAGAGGAGCACAACACGGCGATAAAGGCAGGCTATGATAAGCTCATCAACGCTGGCGTAAGCGCAACTAAGCGAGCGTTCTACATAGATAGCAAATACGCAGAAGCGGTAAGTATTATTATTACCATGGCGGCTTTCCTTGCTGATCTGAATCTTGTTTACCAGATATCCGGTATTAAAGGCGCAAAAAGAGCCTTTAAGTATACGACTGGCCATCTATGGCCTTATAAGTTGATCTATCATCTATTTGCCGAAGCTATAAAGCATAATAACTTGAACCTTCAAACCAATACCAGAGTAACAAAAATCTCGGATTTTCCAGACGCCAACGGAAATTGGACTATCACCACCAGCCGCGGCCTTCTCAAGGCACGAAAGGTCATCATGGCAACCAACGCTTACACCGCCGCTCTACTCCCAGAGTATCGTGAAAAGATCATACCGTATAGAGCTATTTGCAGCCGAATAGTAGCACCCAATCCACCAATGTTGGCTGACTCGTATGCCATTCGATTTGGACCCTCGAACTTTGACTATTTGATCCCTCGACCTGATGGAAGCATCATTTTTGGTGGCGCCAGAAGTGATTACTTCAGATACACGGAGGACTGGTATGGCAGTGTAGATGATATAAAGGTTATTGAAAGGGCGAAGGATTACTTCGAGGGGTATATGCAGAGGCACTTTCGTGGCTGGGAAAACAGCGGTGCGCATACTGATCAAGTATGGACTGGAAGTAAGTCATTGTTCTTAATATTACTTAGATACTTACTAACCATGCCATCACGTAGTTATGGGCTACTCATCAGACCAACTTCCACGTATAGGTCGCGTCCCTGGTCGAGAAAACATGTTTATAATGGGCGGTTTCACAGGGCATGGAATGCCCCAGGTTTTCCTCGCTGCTAAGGGCCTCAGCCGCATGGTCCTCCAGGACTTGCCATACTCCCAAACAGGAATTCCCCGACTGTTCGAAGAAACTCAGGCGAGGTTGGTCAGTAAGGACAATTTCTTGAAAGACATGATTGATAGACAGGCAAGTTTGGCAAAGATGTAATTTGTCTGTAGGGTGGCAGATCATACGTGGTAGCGGGGTTCACTACTACGTAGTATCTAAATGGTCGAAAGTTCAATGGGTCATAATGCCAAGCCTTCTGCCTAACCGAATAATTCAAAGATCGGACATTTCCTAATTTAGTAGCGCTGACATAGCCCTACGGCACAGCACAGTTAGTTATAACATGGCAATATCACATCTTTAATCATGTCAAACCATCTTTATCATTGAACGCTGAAACGCTATTTTATACAGTTTATAACATCTATGTTGCTGGACGAATTGGACAGGCCGCTAGACGATGTCGTAGTTGTCGATCGTTTGGCTATCGCCGACTACAACGAACCCAACATTCTGCCTCAAGATGAGGCTACTTTGAAGAATGTGCGAGCCTGGCTCAGACCTACCAAGTATGAAGGCGATGGCAGTGAACTGAACAAGCATACCAGCTCCTATTTGGAGGGTACTAGCCAGTGGCTTCTTGTTTCACCTATTTTCCAACAATGGCATGACGGTCGCGATGATGGAATTCTGTGGATTCGTGGTGAGTGATAAATGTCAGTTGAGCCGAGCTGCAAGGCTAATTATCCGCAGGTGTTCCTGGCACCGGCAAATCTGTGCTTGCCTCGAGACTCATCCATCATCTATCATCCGAAGAATGCCCAGTTCTGTACTTTTTCTTCCGGCATACCATCCAATCCAACCATCGCCCCGAATCTGCCCTCCGCGACTGGCTTGCTCAAGTCTTGCCCTTCAGTCCTCATCTGCAACTCGCATTGATGAATCTGACATCAGAGCCCATCAATCTTGATTTTGTGGACGATCTGTCCTTGGTTGAGCTTTGGCACCTCGTTCGACTTGCGTTGAAAAATATGCCCAAAGTTTATTGTGTTGTTGATGCCCTGGATGAGATGGACAGCGATGCCTTGGAACATTTCTTGCAGTTGATCGATCAACTCGGAAATATGCACCCTGATAGAGTCAAACTCATTATTACGAGCCGACCCATTGCCACGATTGAGAAGATCGTGCGAAACCTACGGCTGTTGGACATTCGTGTCGACAAGAAAGCCATTAACCCGGATATTTCTACCTATCTTCAGCACAGACTTGCCAGCTCTAAGCTGTCACCCGAAACAAAGGATGCAATCAAGAACATAGCCCTCGAGAAAGCGGATGGGCTGTTTCTCTATGCCAAGTTGACAATGGATAAGATCGCCGGACTCGACCATGAAACCGAAACGGAAATCCTCCAGACCCTTGAAAGAATGCCCGTCAGCCTATCTTTCATATATGGACACCTCCTCAGGGAGCATATGGGTCGCACTGGACTGCCTAAAGGACTACAAATGCTCGTATTGCAACTTGTAACCCACGCAACTCGACCCTTGCGACTGCTCGAGATATCTGACTGCATCAGAGTGACTCAGCCTCAATATGGTCAAGACGCCGGAACTATCAAGAGCCATGTGCGCACCTGTTGCGGGCCACTGCTAGAGGTACTTCCTGACGAAACTGTTCGCGTTGTTCATCACTCTCTGACTGAGTATCTCTTTGGACTTACTCGCTCATCGGCTGATGAAGACATTCCCGTTTTTGAGCCTGGCCCGACACACGACCTTGTCGCAAACCTCTGTCTCTCGTATCTCCAAGCAGGGCACCTAGACAATATTACTTTCGTGGAAAATAGCACTTTCTTCCGAAGAACTGTCTTAGCGAAACAAGAATTCCCGCCTTTCATGAACTACGCGGTGAATAACTGGCATACTCACGCTAAGAAGGCCACTAGACGACAATTTCCACAGGAGAAAACGAATGAGAAAGCCTTCTCACTGCTGATGACTCCGGAATCTGCTTGGCGACTTACAGCGCTGGCAGAGCAGACTCACACGAGAAGTTGGCATCCTGGGCATCCTGGGTTGTCTGGGTATCCTTGGGTTCGAGATGAGAAGATGTCGCTTGAAACTGAGGTGCTACTTTTCTCGATGCGATTGGGCTTGACCAATTTTATTGAGAATTTTCTTGAACGCTGTGGGGAAGAAGCAGTCAACTATAGTGGAACTAAGATGATTCAGCCTCCATTGCATCAAGCGGTGGAGAAGCGAATGCTGGAAATTATCCACCTCCTTGTTAAGCACGGGGCCGAGCTGGACCAGCATGATTACCAAGGAGACACACCACTTTACGTGGCACTCGGCGGCCAGAGTTCCAGAACAAAAGGTGCATCACAGCCCGCCATTGTTGAGAGCCTCCTCAAAGCGGGCGCTGACCCGTGGAAGACACAAGAGAGAAACAAGAGGCGGTCACACATGATAGGGATATCCGAGGAATCACACATATCATATAAACCAATTAGGATGGCCTTCAGCACCTGCGACGATACAATTGCAAAACTGTTCATACCGTATGTCAAGACTACGGAGACTGCGAACGAGGCTTTAAGTTGGGTTATGGAGGGCTCCAGGAACATAAAGGTCATGCGTCTAATCCTTGATCTTGGCCTGGTGGCCATCAATGCCTGTGCTGATGGCCCAACCTTTTTATTCTTGGCGTGCAAGCATGGTGACCCCAAGGCAGTATCTATACTATTGGAAGCTGGTGCAGATCCGAACACCTGCCATTTTCGCAACAGTGGTTCTGGCAACAGTGATTCTGGCAAGTTTGAGCTCGTGCCTGATACCTTGTATGTCCACACAGAACCTAGTGGTTCTGGCAAAGAAATGGCAGGGCCTAATGTTATGCATGCTTTGGCAGATCTAACTTTGATGGACCCGCAAACACATATTCGTCATGCTGCGGCTGATGAAGTCGTCACAGAGTGCTTCAAATTAGTTCTTGATGCCGGTGCCGATGGTAAGTGAAAAGTATCCCTTTTTAGTCAGTTTATCATGAGGGATCTAATATCATGATACAGTCAACTATGTCGATAGCGAAGGGAACACGCCGCTTCACGTGGCAAAGACTTCGCTAATGGCGCAGCTTCTACTTGATTCTGGAGCAGACCCTAATGCGATAAATTCTCGCAATAACACGCCGCTTCATGTTGCGCACACCTTTGATGTGATGAAGGTGATAGCCAGCAAGACAGATATCAACACCACAGATCAAGATGGCAGTACCATGTTACTGAAGATGTTGAATACGAAGTCTGGCAGCTCAAAATATGAAATATCACACCCCCTTCAACTTCTAGATCTTGGGCCCGACGTTCATATTGTCGACAATGAGGGTAACAGCGTCTTGCATTATCTGGCCACGCATGAGCAAATGACCAGTCCTGAAGGCCAACAGATGCTGGAAAGATTGATGCAAGGTGGTTTTAACCCAAATCTACGAAACAAGCAGGGTCAGACTGCTCTTCACAAGCTGGTGTCCAAGTGTTGTCGTTTGGGAAAGCCGTCGGTCACCACCCTGAGGACATTCAATGAGCTGACGAAGTCTGATCTTAACGCTGTGGATGATAAAGGTCAGACACCGCTCTTCAGCACTCTTGATAAGTTTCGCGCCATGCGAGAGCCCGTTGGGGATGAGTTTATACATTTTATGGCCGAGGTAGGGGCACGCTTCGATGTCACGGACAAGCGAGGGCGGACATTGCTACATCCTGCAGTTAGAAACTGTTGTGGTCGACAGTCCGAAGCTGATCTTGACGTGTTATGCCTTCTCATTGAACTTGGAGCTGATCCTCAGGGGACCGATATCGAGGGAAACACTGCCTGGCATGAAGCAGTGCCTAAGTTTTCTTATTGGTCGCTTTCACTGCAATGTCTTCAGAAGATCACAGCTTTGGGTATGGATCCGAAAAAGGCCAACATGGAGGGAAGAACGCCGTTTCACATCGCCTGCGAGTATAATCAGCGAAACCTATCGAAGAATAAGTTGTTTGAATACCTGCTGGAGCAGGTCGGAGACATTGATGTCAAGGACTTTAACGGGGCTACTGCCCTTCATACCACGGCAACTTACTCCAGCGAGTTTACTCTGAGACTTTTGGAAGCCGGTGCTGATGCGACACTGGTCACAAATGAAGGATTGAACGTCTTTCATCTTGCAGCCCGATGCCGAGGGAGCAATGTCATTGGCCTTCTTTTGGAATGGCTCACGGCCAACACCAACAACGAAGAGATACAACGGCTTGTCAACCTCAAGGATAAGCGTGGTCGGGCCCCTCTGTACTACGCTTGCGCCGCTGGCAGTTACCAGTCCGTTGAGCTTCTTATTAGTGCTGGCGCAGTCGTTGAGATGGAGACGTACGATGGTTCTGCATTGAACGGCTGCGTTGACTATGTGCAAGAGGAAGCAAGTTGGCGGAGGAGTTCGGACGCTGATTCCGGTGGTGTGTTTATTGATGATGCAAGACGGCCGTCATATATTGGGGGAAGAATTGAGACAACTTTGGACCTTGTAATTGGCAACGCAGCAGCACCCAAATGGCATCTTCTCGATATGGCGGTTGCCGCGGCTGTCGAAGTGGCCACAACTACCGAACTACAATTTGCTGAACAGCGCCAATCTGCTACTCATCCAGACCATGATATAACCGTGGAGTGCCTCATGCGAGCGAGGAAGTCTTTAGGTGTTGAAAATGAGTTGCCCTGCGCAGCTGAGGCACAACTCTGCCTAGAACGAAGACAAAGGAGGATATTCGAGATATGGGATTCGACGAGTAAATGTTCACTTCACGACGACCGTACTCACTTTTTGGCCCGCTTAAGCCGACTTATGATCTCGCATTTCTATGATGACCTTCCTGACTACATCAACGGGAATTCCCCCGAAGTCAAAGATCTTTACAGGTTTCTCGCCGACCTGGCAAAACGAGGCTTTGCGAGGCTTCTTGACATCATACTCACGCCAGAGACCACCTCGACCCTCCAGGAAAGAAGTGAGACGAGCATTGCTTCGCTGGTACGTGTTGCATGCGAATCGGAAGAGCCGAACATGCCTGTGATCCGAGTTTTGCTATCAAAGGTCGTTCGACTGGAAAGTGTGAAGGAATCAGAGGGTAGTTTTCTGCACGTCCTATCTCGAGGCGGTCATCACCCTTGGTGGCATATTGGCCAGGCACTGCCATACTTACTGAAGCAAGGTGTGAACCTGGAGGTCAGAGACAAAGACGGACTGACGCCCCTCAACGCGAGTCTTGAGAACATGGAGAAACCTGAATGGAGTGGTAAAGCTACGGAGATGCTACTTCAGGCAGGCGCAGATCCAAGCAGCGTGGACGATGCAGGCAACTCTTGTCTATCTCGTGCTGTTGATAAAAAAAGACTGTTCAAGTTGCTAGTTCAGCATGGGGCCACTGCTGACCATCCAGAGCTGCGTGCGGCAATCCTGGCCAAAGACGTTGATCTGGCGGAGTTGATATTAGCCTCTGGTGTAGATCCAAATGGTCGCCCGACGCCTTCGTCAGATAATGTGAAAGTGCGACTGGACTTGAGAATGTGTACTTTCTGCCCTTCAGACGAGCTTTACCCCTTGAATCTTGTGATTAGTATTATTCGCAGGCGTGATGGCGACACCGAAGTTTGCATGCAGATGGTGGAGTTATTACTCAAGTTTGGTGCTGATCCAAACGCTCGTTTCCATCACACGACAATTGCTCATCGAACGCTCGAGCAAAAGGTTTACAACCCCATTACTGGACGCGAAGAACGGAGCAACTTCATCGACATTATTTTGCAGCATCCCAGTCTGGATGTAGACTTGAGGAATACCGCTGGTGTTCCTCTGCTTCATGTGGCTGTAAAGGTTGGCGATGAAATGGCAATTCGAACATTGATCAAGAGAGGTGCCGACGTTCGCTCAACAGATAACCTTGGTCAGAATGTCTTGCACCTCAGCTCTTCTGTCCTTTACAGCAAGAGCCTGTTCGATGATATCGTAGCTCTAGCACCGGAGCTTCTACGACAGGCTGACAACGATGGCAAAACTCCACTACATTCTGCCATGGGTAGTCGAGATCAGTATGGACGTCTGGGAAATGTACGAGAAGGTGCCGAGACATTTATTGAAATGCTTATAGCTGCAGGAGCCGACACTTGTGCAAAGAGTGAAAATGGGGATACGCCACTTCACTTACTTTTCCTGAGTCCATGGATTTTGTCCGTGGATGAAGACGATGTTGAAGCCTGGCAAGGGCCTGTGAAGATAATCATGGACTTGCTTCTATCGAATGGTGCGGATATCAATGCAAGAAACGAAGCAGGCGAGACCCCAATCTTCACCTACCTCCGCGAGGGCGATTTCAAGGTTGAGATAACCAGAGCCTATTTCAACAAGCACAATCCTGATTTGGTTCCACGGCATAGTTTCCAAAGTAGTGAGCCCTGGAGTGCTATTGAAAGGCGTTTCGCCGTGGAAAAGGAATCGATGCTATGGGCGCTCTTGGAAAAGGCGGGCGTGGACTGGACTGCTGTCGATGCAAGGGGGCAGTTTCTACTTCATGTCGTTGCGGGGCGGGAGGTTTATGCATATTCAAGGACTAGAGAAGATCCCATTTCACCGAGAGTGGTTAGGTTTAGGTTTCTGATGGGGAAAGGGTTGGATCCATTGGCGGAGGATGGATATCATCGGACGGCGTTGGATGTTGCGGCTGTGAACAGCGCTGATGATATCTTGGAGCTGTTCAAAGCAGAGTAGAGGGACTGGCCATTCTAGTAATCGAGCTATTGGATAAATGTTCCCTATTGACTCATGTCTAAACAGGTGAAGCAATAGCATGAAAATAGTCGATGAGTGAGCAATCACAAACCCCCCTGGCTTTATTCTTAGGTGACGGGTTGCGGTACTTAGAAGGCAAAGCCAGATCATAATAACTGTAATCGATTTATGATCAGACTTTCTTTAGTGCACAATGGCTCGCACTCGCGATTTGAGGCCGAAGTCTCTTACTCCCGACGAGGAAAAGATCTTATCGACGTGCCATGCAATGTCAAAGCTCACTCAAGAACAATGGGGCGCTTTTAATGCCTGGGTGGCAGCTAACAGTCCACCAAGACGCGACGCAAAGTCATGGATTGCAACTACCCACGACCTTGAATACAATACATTCTCAACTTCAGAGATCGGCTTGCTGATAAAGCGAGCCAAATTTTTATATGGCATGGAGATTCCCAACCAAGTAAGTTTCACGATCGCATTGATATTATTAAACTTCGTAAGCTAACTCTATCCCGGCGTAGAACAGCCAAAAGGAGTTTGTAGTGTGCAAACTAGGTCTCGAATTACCTCTTGGGTACATGCCTGATGCTAAATATCGATTTCCCTTCCTATTTATGGAGGACAATTATGAAGAGGGGTGGCAAGCCGCTACTTTTACTATCCGAGAGAGTTGCATGCTTAAGCTTGTTGATAAGCTGTCTGACAAGCCAGAGTAGTGGCGCAAAGTGAGGGACCATGATATTGCCAGTAAGTGGAAGTAAGAAGCATTGGAAATAGATTAGACCTTATACCTAACGTATGCCGATTTTAGCCCTGCTATGATAGACGCTGTAAGTCAGAATGAACACCAGGGTCTTCATAACACTCAAATACTTATAACTGATTTAGTGCATTAGCGAACTATAACGAAGGCAGACTTATACGAAAAGACAGGTCTAATGTCTATATACGATTTTACCTCTTGCGTCATTAAGTCTAATGGCATCCTAACGGCTAAACTAGCCCAAGCTCTTCAGAAAAGTATTACAATATTAGAAGATGTTCCCCTAGATTCTAAGGACTGGCATCCTGGTAGTGAAGATTAGGTCCTAGATTTAGGGCATCCTTCGCTTTGGCCGTTAGTAGATGGCCGATCTAGAGTACTTTAAGATCTATAAAAGTACTAATAAATATAATCTATATACTAAAGGTAGCCTTATAGCTTAGTAAGAAATAATAGCAATCTAAAGGTTAGATCTCTAAGGATTATTAGTAATCTATAGTAATCTAGTCTTAGAGTATTATAATTAATTTAGTCTTAGAGTATTATAATTTAAGTATTCTAATAAAAAAGGATTACTATTAGGAGAAGTAATCCTTCTGTAATTAGTAGAAATTATAGGGGCTACGTGACGTAGCCGCGTGGGTTGTAATATAATAATATTAATTATTATTATAAGCTATATATAAGGATATAATAGTATTTTATAAGTAATATATTATTAAGTTTAAATCTTAAACTAAATTAATAATATAATATAATAAAAAAAAGAAAATATTAATTATAAATTAATATTAAAATAAAACTAATATTTAATAAGTAGTTAATTATACCTTAAATTAAAATTTTATTTACTTTTTATATACTTATTTATTATAATTAATTTCTAATATATTTTAATTATTATCTTTTAAATAATACTTAAATTTAATAAATATTTATAATCCTACTAACCCTGTCCTTACTTATATTATTAATATTATAATAAATAATAAAATCTTAATATTAATAATTCTTTAACATTTTTATTATTACTTTATTTGTTTTTTATATTAAAGTTAAGCTTAATATATATAATTAACATACTAATTTAATAAGCATACTAATTTAATAAGTATACTAATTAAAAATCCCTTAACCTTATATCTAACTATCTAATTAATTAATTCTTAATTAAATAATATATCTTAATCTAATAAAGAGGTTTAAATCCTTCTTATATTTTAGGCCTATTAGGCAGACCTAAAATTAAGTTTATAATAAGCTATAAAGGTCTATAATATTAACTTCTTAACCCTTTATACCTAATATAATAATATCTCTATATATTATAATTAAGTTCTAAAGTTTTAGAAATTAAGTAATTTAGAGGTATAGGTTATGGTCTAGTATATCCTTAACCTAAATTTATAAGAATTTCCTTCTTAATATTATAATATTAAAAAAATAGCTAATTAATTACTTATTAATTATAATAAGTTATTAATTACTAAGTATTAGGCTATTAAATTTATTACATAATAACTAGAACTTAAGATATATTTTTAATAAAAATATAACTATTAGAGACCTAAATATAAAGATTTAATTATTATTTATAATTAGTTTAAGCTTATATAAAATATAATTATAAAATATAATATTTAATTAAATAATATTTAAAACTTTAATAAAACTAGCTGTATCATAGGTATTATATTAAGTAATATAGTAGTTATTAGCTTAGAAAGGTATAAAAACCTAAAATTAATCTAGCTTAAAAATTAAAAATAAGTTATAGTAATTTAAGTAATTAATATAAAAGGTTAAGTAATTAATTTATTTATTATAATTATAGGCTAATATTACCTTATTATTTAATATTAAGAAAATAACCTCCTAGCCTTTTAAGCTATTACTATAACTTAAAATAGCTAAATAAATAATAAAATAGGCCTTAAGTAGCTAAAGTACTTTAATTAATATATAACTAAATAATTAACTAATCCTTATTATCTTTTAATCCTTAATAATTATAAAAATTACTATTTAACTAACTTCTAGATATATTATAAGGAAAATAATATTATTATATTTTATATATTACCTTATTCTTCTTACCTATTTTAGCCCCTTAATATTAAGTACTTTAGGCTATTAAAAAAGGTATATAATTAAAAAATAAAATAGCTAATTAAAAGATTTTTAACTTATATTTCTAAAATTAAGTTCTTCCTGGTCTTTTATATTGCCTTTTAATTAATTTCTTATTAAGGTAATAAAGAGAAATATATATAAAATTGCCTTATTAAGGGCTAAAAACTAATAGGTTTAATTGGTAAATAAAATACTTAATTAATAATATAAAATAAAAAGAACCTAACTATAAAATAAAAAAAGTATAATTATATAAAAAGGTTAAGATTTAATTAATTAAATAGATATAAATATATAAGTAGTAGTTAAATTATCTAAAAGTAGTAATTAAAGAAGTTTAATATAATTAAGGATTTAGTAATATAAAACTTATAGTAAAATTAGATATAATATAAAAACTTATTAAGAGGGAATTAAGGCTTTTAGAAATAAATATAATAATTAGAATTAATTAATTAAATAGTTTATAATACTTTTATTATAATTTATTTAAAAAAGGTTAAGATTTTTAATTAATATACTTATTTAATTAGTATACATATTATATATATTATATATTTATATAATTAAGATATAAATATTAGATATTTATAAGTATTTTAAAGGAAAGATATATATAATAATAAAGATATAAAGTATAATATAATATTTTACTTTAGCTTTTAAAATTTTTAAAATTAATAAGTTTTATATTATTTTTCTTCTTTTTTACTAAGAATTATATGCCTTTTAAAGTTATTATAAAGTTTACTACCTTAGTTACTATCTCTAGTATAGTTACGCCTACTCTTGCCCTCCCTTAGTTTCTATCTACCTATAAGTTTATTCCTTAAGAGTAAATCGCCCTAGTCCAGGGAACTATAAGTACGCTCTTATTATAGATATTAGTCCTAAATATCTATAACCTCTAGGTATTATATACTAACTATTTAATAAAGCTCGCAGTCCCTGCCCGGGCCTTAACACTTTAGCCAACCACGGCTACCTTCCTCGTAGCGGCAAGGATATAACCCTCAACATCCTCAAGGATGACATACTTACCGGTTTTAATATTAAGCACGCAGATGCTGTCCTTCTTTTTATGCAGGCTATCAGGACTAGCCTTAACTACCCAAACACCTGTTTTAATCTTGCTAACCTCAGCCGCCATAATATTCTTAAGCATGACATTTCTCCGAGGTATATCACGCCAGTATTTACTCATAACTAATGCTAACACTAGCAACCTAGTCGCTCTAATGCTTTCTTTGCTAACCTAAACCCATTTAATAAAACCATCTAGGCCACATCCCTTACCTACTTTCCAGACAACCTAATAAAAGTTAAATGAGTTACTAAGGCAAGAATAGGTCTCCTGGCCACCTTTAACAGGACTAACCCCAAGCACTCACTATCCAGGCTAGCTAACGGCTTTAGGTAGGGCAAGATAGCTTCCTTCTTTAAGATTATAGCTAATAGCACTACCAGCATAGTAGAGAAGAAGTTTATTAAGTATTGGCTAAGTAAGTTGCTTTTTATTCTTTATTATACTATTATAAGGAGGCTAATAATGACTTTTTACTATAGAGAACGAGCATATACCTACTGAGATTAGATAGCAGTAACGTACTACTACTATACAAGGCATTAAGCATATCGAGTTTAGCAGGAAGCTTATGCAGGCTGCTAGTGTTACCCGTCGTGACATAACGAGCGATGCTTATCGTCGCGAGCTGGTTCAGTAAAGTTGTAGTGGCATAGAAACACAAGTCTTTAGCATTCTTTCAAGGAGGGCTGGCTTCCCCCTAGCGCAATGAATGGACTATTGCTACAACAGTGGGGGCAAGTTGCATTACAATCACAAACGGGGCCGACGTTCTATGTATATGTTATTTCTTCTTTTCTACCGAAACGCTCTACATGTGCCTTGATTTTTAATCCAACTTCTCGACGGTCAGTCGTATTTCGCCACCTTTCATCCGGTGCCGCTCCTCCGGCTTGTTTCTTTCCGAGCCAGGCATATCGCACAAATTCGGCGGATTATGCATAAATATAGTCTCTCAACTGGCGACACTCCAGTATATTTATTCAAGCTTATGATCTGACTCTATAGATACAAGACGTTCCTTGTAATTCTTAGAAGCCTCACGATTCTTGTCAATCTTCTCTTTATTCTTCTTAATAAACTCTCGGCCCTCTTTCCGATGCTCCTTAGATAGTGGTTCGGGAAGGATACCCGGGAGTGGATTATACCACTGCTCTTTAGGAACTTTTGTTCCATCAACTCCGCGAAAGACTATCTCTTCCTCCTTATCATAAGGGCCGCGGTCTAATAAAGCTTTTATTAACGCAGGCCTCAGAGCAATTGCATAGTGGATATTGCGATCAGCATCAAGGTAGCGGAAAATCCCGTCACGGCCGAGGTGTACAATGCCTCATAGGTCTAGGTCATGGCGCTCCATTTTATATAGAATGTCGCTCATTTCTTGTTGTTCTGGCGAAAGATCTTTATATGCAATGCCGGGGCAAGTTGCTTCAGCATGAGCTGCCTCTTGATGCTCCGAACCAGATTGAGACATAATTGGAGAATATTTCATCGAATGTTAACTGGCGGTGAATTGTGAGAGATAAAGGCCCAACATGGGAGTGGGCTTATCTTTAAATAAACCGGATTTCAGTAGTGATGACATGTGATAGTTACGTAGTACGAATTGGAACCCTGATTCTTTTAATTGGCCGAACTAGCAAGTTCTAGAACTGTTGCGCCTTTTCAAAAGCACCTTCGGCCCGTATCAAACCTAAATTATGTGTCAACTCGAGAAATTCGCTTCGACCCAACAGCACATAGCCCACTAACCAGTCATCAAAAGATGGCTCGACAAACTAAAAGATTCGTAAGCTTGCATACGAGATAAGTCTCCAAAAGTCCCATTACGCTCGGCTCTCGGCAAGCTTAAAGCAGATCACATTCCAAAATGGGAAGATAACAACCAACATACATATGCACTTTACCTGCAAAATGGAACGTATTAACCAGCTTGGCGTGCCGAGTTCCAAACCTGATCCGCTAGATCCGCGTTTTATAACCTCACGAAGGTGCTTCACATATCTTACTAGAGGCGTCGCTTGCATCTTTGTACGGATTGATTGCTGCGCCCTCTTGTTAGAATAATACTGGCGCTACCATGTTAACTCAAAAGGTTCACTACGGGCCAGTATAAAATAAGATTAGAGTGAAAGTTAGACTAATCTGTAGGCCTTTGTCCGGGAAAACGGTCTGTTCAATTGTCATAGCGGTAATTTCTTTCCAACGGAGCCTTCCTTTTAGGAAGGATTTATGCATGTTGGTCCTAAATTCTCGTAAACTCTGATTATTATCGACCAACAACGGCGATACTTACGCAGCCTCTAACATGTGATTTATTCAGAATCTCAGGTATAAGAGCTGCAAGAGGCAAAGGGTATCCTACTTAATGCCAGATACAAATCTACTCAGTATTATCGTGTTAAATAACCACCAAAAAGCCTCTTTACCTTCTATCAATATGAAGACTGGTATAGTTATGCCTCTTTACTGTAATAAAGCTAGAGTCAAGGTCTAATAAGTAGATAGGATCCTCCTTCCTTAAAGTTCTATTTACTGGTAGCTTTGTAAGCGCCAAGTATACGATTGAGATTCCTAAAGATGCCATCTGGGTTACAAACTGGGATCAACTTCATAAAATAGGTGCACAGTACCCTGATACAGCCTTGGTTGAAAAGTATGGTGGCAATGTAATTGAAGTCGATGGAAAAATTGTTGTTGCGACAGATGAGGAAATGACCAAACAGATTGACAGCTGGATTAAAGAGTTGGAAAAGAATGATATAGAGGTTGAAGCAGAGACAGAGACTTCAAAGAGGCGAGATGTGGAGATTCCTGGACCCTACCGCCAATGCAGTCACCCTCGCTGCTTTTATGATGTCACTTGTCATTCTTATACTAATTGTCACATCTGTAGGCGCCCAACTGGTAGAAGAGGGATCTGTATTTAAATTTTGTTATTAGTTCTCAGATAATTTTAAATAAGAAGGATACTATGCATGTAATAACGTACATGATAAGCGAGTGCAACAACGCATCTTGACGTCCAAGATAGAAACAGCCATAAAACCACAACAGATCTTTAATCAAGTAAAATTAATCGCTATATTCTTCCAACGACATGGCGATAACTATCTGACAAGTCCTTGCATTATGTCCTGCCCTGCCATACGCTCCACAGTGCTTTTCCTTCATTCGTATCGACCTTCCTTGATCACCACTTCTCGATGGTCCAGCCACTGCTTGAGCAGTCGGCATTTTCGGTATGCACAGCCCTGAACAGGTCATGAAAATTCCTTCCCACAAGCGTACCCCAGGTTATATACGCAATACCTTCTTGCAAGCCAATGGATACATGGATATCCTTAAGGCAGGTCCGGGCCGAATTGCCGATCACGAAAAGGCCTTTATATACATGTATGAAAATGAGGATGGATGGAAGGACATTGACCAATCACTAAGTAAAGATTCATTGACAAAACGGAATCCACTTGCACATGCGATGGCAAAAGTGTTCATTATTACCAGCTTTGTTACTGGCGGTCGCCAGCTCTATGGCCAGGATGCTGCAAATTAATCAGACGCGATTGCCTCTGGCACCCTAATCTTGCAACTAATGGGCCATTATATATTGTGTTAGCAGACAAGCCAGCCGTGTCCCCAACAATCTTCCCTCACAAGAGAGCAAATTTCCGCCGAAAGCTTAACACACTTTTGCTCCAGAGCCGATTCTGGGCTCTCGAGGAATCAGGCCACCGGGAGCTCTCTCTGGAACCGGTTGAAAATTTCATTAAAGGCGAGGAGTTCCTGGCGGAAAGGGCAATGTCGAGTGTTGTAGGAATAACTCGACATCCAGTCAAGGAGCTCAGGCTGACGGAGCAAGCGTATGCACTCTGCTCAAAATACGTTTCTGAAACCACTGGCAATAATAATGGCACTTGGAAGGGTCCGAAATCAAATCAAGGGATACTGGAAGCCGAACTCGAAACCATCGACACCTGGCTGAAGGACGGGAGTTCCATTGCTTTTTGCAGGAAGATGATACTGAGTGTTGTCGGCTTCAGTATACAAGAAATGATCAATGGCGCTATCCAGGAAGTGAGCGAAAGCAATAGGAAGGATACCGCAACAGCCATATCCACTCTGACAATTTTGTTTCTAGTGACTTGGAAGAATATCTCTACGATTTTAGGCAAGCCTTCCAATATCCTAACTGTCACACTTACCTCTTTCAAAGAGAGACTAGTGACAAGCACATACATTGCAAAGCGGCTTAAAAAAAACTTTTAGAATCTATTTAGAAGATTTTCAATATTTAGGAAATAGAAGAAAGCAACGAGGGCCAACCAAGCGAATGTTTCAGACAGCCCTACAAAAATCAACACCTTCTAGACGACTTGTTGATTTACCGGTCAGTGCTGATAGTCTTGCTGTATTCTTTAGCTAATGATGGTAGTGATCTACTAAAACAGGATCCTTTTAGACTAGTCGTTCCAATTATGTAGTATAGCAGACGCTAGGCTGAGCTTAGAGAGAACTAATAAAGGAGAGAGAAAATTAACTATAAGTACTAAAATAGTAAGAAAAAGGAGATATAGCTAAAGTTTGTATTAAATAAGGATATACATATAGAGTGCTAGTCTTACTACTTTTTAATAAATTTAAAGAAAGGAAAAGAAAGAAAAGAAAAAAGGTTAAATTAAAGGTAAATAGCTTATTTAATATATACCTACTAAGGCACTTTATAAGTAAGTAAATAATTTAAATATATAAATAACTTATTACTCTTTTATATCCCTTTCCTACTTAAGTATTAAAGATTATAGCTATTAAACTATATTAAATATTACAGTAGTATCCAGGTTCAGTGACACCAGTATTAAAGTACAAAAAATTTTCAGTGAAACCGCGCTAATAGTAGGGGTGGAGACAGACAGGTAGCCTCTTTGTAAGTTGGTAATGGCCCATCAAGCAATGGTGAACTCAATCGCGCCATGTGGCCGGCTGGCCAGTATCTCAGACCATAGTCCCTACTCTTCTATTCCTAATTGTCGTATACCTCTAATTGTCGTGTACCCCTAATTGAGAATTATTTGCAGAAACGCATTGCGTTTCCTGTTTTTGACCAATCACAGTCCAGCATTTTCGCCCCATGTTTCCTCTAATAGAAACATATTGCGTTTCTCGTGCTGCGCTAATAAAATCAGAAAACCTAAAATGTAAAACGCGTTATGTTTCTGTTATCTAAGCCCTGTTAAATATTTACTAACTTAACTACTTTAAACCTAAGTAATAACATTTATTAATATATATAATAAGTAAGTATTATACCTAAATAAGTATTATAACAATCTTAACCTATAAGAGAGGAATATAAATAAAAATAAAATAAATTATATAATTAATTAAAATAAATTATTATTCCCTTTTCTAAAGGTCTTAATTACTACCTAATAGGTTATTATATTATATTCTATCTTAATATATATACTATAATATTAAACCTCTTAGTTATATTAGCCCTCCTTAACTACTATTTCTTAATATTTTAGCTACTACTTATCTATTAACTTTTATTTAAATAATTAATTCCTAGCTATGCTTTATTAGTTATAGTCCTTTATCTTATACTTAGGTTCTTTTTACCCTTTAATAATAGCTTAATACTATATTTGCCTCTTAAAGTATAATAGGTATAGTTTCTAAGGGATAAACTAGTCTATGCTAGAGTTATATTAATAAATAAAGTAGGCTATAATACCAAGCAATGTAAAGTATTATATCTCTTAATAATTACGTAATATATATTAGGCTTATTAATATAAAGAAGTCTTATTAATAGCTAGTAAGCTATAATTTTTAAAAGTATTAATAAATATAATTTATATATTAGGTATAACGTGTTTTATAAGCGAGTGACCCATATAAGCGAGTGACCCAAAAATCCCTCAACTTACATTATCATCATTCAATTCAATATCTTTCAACAACCCGATATGCCACAGCCTTCATATGAAGCTAGGATACTTCTTGCCCTTCAGGCCCTTCAAAATGACCCGAAATTAAGTATCCGAAAGGCGGCGACTGTATATCAGGTCAATCACCGCACCTTAGGTCGCCGCCGGAATGGCATTCATTCAAAGCGTGATATAACCACAAAATCACGGAACCTATCTGATCTAGAGGAACAGACGATAGTTCAATTTATCCTTGACCTAGATTCCCGAGGTTTCCCCCCTCGGCGCGATTTTGTGGAAAAAATGGCCAATTCTCTACTTGCCGATCGCGAGGCATTACCAGTCGGCAAGCTCTGGGTTCATAACTTTATCCAACGACAACCAGAGCTAAAGGCATGTCGATTTCGGAGATATGACTATAAGAGAGCTAAATGCGAAGATCCGACTATTATTCAGGGCTGGTTTCGCCTCGTAGAGAATACGATCGCGAAATACGGTATCCAATTAGCTGATATCTGGAACTTTGATGAGACCGGCTTTATGATGGGTATGATTGAGCCCGGAATGGTCGTCACAAGCTCAGAAAGGCGAGGGATACCAAAGAAGATACAGCCTGGAAATCGTGAATGGATTACTGTGATTCAAGCGGTCAATGCAGAAGGTCAATCGATCGCACCATTCATCATTGGTTCAGGCCAATATCATCTTGCCAATTGGTACCGAGAATGCAACCTCCCCGCCGATTGGGTCATTGCATTGAGCGAAAATGGATGGACCAATAACCAGCTAGGTCTTGACTGGCTACAGCACTTTGATCGATCAACAAAGGACCGATCAGTTGGTTCTTATCGTCTCTTAATCCTCGATGGTCATGAAAGCCACCACTCTATCGAATTCGAGAGATATTGTGAGGAGAATAAGATTATTACCCTCTGTATGCCTGCTCATGCCTCTCATCTACTCCAGCCTCTTGATGTAGGGTGCTTTGGGCCGCTGAAAAAGGCCTATGGGCGAGAAATAGAGCGTCTAATGGGATGCTCTATAAACCACATCACCAAGATCGAGTTCTTTCCTGCCTTTCATGCCGCCCACCGAGCTACTATTACAGAAAGTAATATCAAAGGAGGTTTTAGAGGAGCTGGGCTTGCTCCCTTTGACCCAGAAAATGTCATCTCAAAGCTTGATGTGCAATTACGGACCCCGACACCTCCCGCAGAGGTCACGATACCTTCAACCCCTTGGACTGCAAGGACCCCAAAGACACTACTAGAGGCCCAATCGCATTCTAAATATCTACAGGGAAGGGTTAGAAACCATAAGAGCAGCTCCCCAGAGTCAATTATTGAGGCTGTTAAGCATTTTGAGAAGGCAACAAGCGTCCTTATCCATAAGATAGTCCTACTAGAGGATAGGCTTCAACAAGTTGAACAAGAGAATCGGATAGTAAAGCGACGCCGGAGGGGGAAAAGGACTAGACTACAGAAAGGAGGGCCTTTGACTATAGAAGAGGCATCACAAGCAATTGATCAGATGGATGTTGATACGCAGGTAGCAGCCGAATCGTCGAGAAGTGGTGGTCGCGGAAGGTCTAAGGGACCGAGGGTTTTACATTGTAGCAAATGCGGCAGGGCCGGGCATAATACAAGGACCTGTCAGGAGGAAATTGAGGTTAATTTAGAAGAATATAGCGATTAGTTTTAATTGATCTGATAATTTGTGGTATTTTTATTGCCGATTTAATTGAGAAGGTTGAGATTTTTGGGTCACTCGCTTATATGGGTCACTCGCTTATAAAACACGTTAGTTATAAACTAATTATAAAAAGTATTAAGTAATTCTAAGAATTACTAATAATTTTAGTATTTATATTATAACTATCTTAGTAATTATAAATAAAATCTCTTAGTTTATAATAACTATATATAATTAGTAAAAAATATAATATATATATAATATAATTACTAGGATTATAATATTAATTTTAAAAATATAAACTATAAATTATTTAATTAAATACTTTATTTCTTAACTATAAGCCTGCTTTAATAGCTTAAAATACTTTATATTAAGTAGCTAAAGTAAATAAAATATATAAATAAGTATATAAGGTATAATAATTTTATTTTCCTTATAATATCTCTTATAATTAGCTAAGTAATAGCTTTTATAACTATTAAGGATTAAAATAAAATAGGAACTATTTAAGTACTTAGTAAAAGATTAATTAAAATACTTTAATTACTTAAAACTTAACTTATTATTTATTTATTTATATTAGCTTATTATAATAACTTAATTACTTAAGGAGTTATATTCTTAATATTAATTAATACGGTAACATTAGCCTATATTAATAATAAATAATATAATTAATTAACCTTTTATATTAATTACCTAGATTATAGGAATTTATTTTTAATTTTTAGGCTATATTAATTTAAGCCTTTTTTACCTTTTTAAACCAGTAATAACTATTTTTATTATAATAATACCTATTTTAAAGCTAATCTTATTAAAGTTCTAAATATTATTTAATTAAATATAATATTTTATAATTATATTTTATATAAGCCTAAATTAATAATCAATATTAATTAGATTATATTTAGCTTTTTAATAGTTATATTTATAAAATAAATATATTTTCAGCTTTAATTATTACTTTATAAAGTTATAAGCTTAGTACTTATTAATAAGTAATATATTATAAGTAAGTAGAGAATTAGCTAGTTCCTTTATAAAATATAATTATATAGGAAATCCTTATATATATAAATTAAAAATAATTAAAATATTATTTATTTCCTTACGTTAAATAGTATTTATAATTTTAAGATAAAATACTCTATACTTAAATACTATATTAATAATAATATAGGTAATACTTATTAATTTTGTATATTTTTATAATATATTAAGTATTTAATTTTAAGTTGTTTTAAAAGGCCTAATAGGTAAGGAGGGTTTTAGCTTTATTTAAGTATTATAATATATTTAGTAATTAAGAATTAATTAATTAAATAAAAAGTTAAATATAAGAGGGAAAAGTATAATATATACTTATTTATAATATATACTTATTATATATATTATAATTAAGCCTATTATTTTAGTAAAGTTATAAAGGCATTAAGAGGATAAAATACCTTTTATAAAGATATATTATATTAATAAAGAAAAATATAATTTAAGTCTTATTTTTTTTTTTAATAAATATACTAGAAATTACTATATATTATAATATTTAAAAGTGCTGTTTTTTCTATAAATAGCATAGGCCTTTATAAAAGAAATATAGTGCATTTTATATTCTCGATTTATAGGCTTAGATGGAAATACGGCGTATTTCTAGTCTACATTCTTAAGTAAGAGCTATAGTAAACCAAGCTGTAACACTTTTGCCCTATAGCGTAATAATTAGGTGCGACCATTTTACTTACCTACTCTATCTATTAATTAGCAGATGTTTAATAGTATTTCTCTTGCTCCAGTTTTATATTTTGCCCTGCAACTATCCTGAATCCCTTTGCCTAGGAGGGTGTAATAGTGACGTGTCCTTGACTGTGTGGCGCTGGTTCGTACGCGTCTTCCATTCTTATATAAGTAAGTCATAGAGCAACATGGCAGGTTCATTCCGAGTGGCACTTCATCGTAAGTTCAGGTGCAAGTATGCGTATTACAAGCAGCCTCTACACATATATATTCTCAACCTTAAATTGTGGCATATCAGTTATAGCGAATTCACGGTTTCCCTTATCTAGCGAAGAATGATTATAGTCTTAATATTTAATTAATACCCTATTAGTTCAAGCTATAGTATTACTTTTAACATAGTAAAACTATACAATTAATAGCTAAGGCATCAGAAGTGAAGACAACACAATGCTAAAGGCGCTAAATGTGACGTCCTCGGTACCTGGTTGTCCTTATGTTACGTAGCTGAGATGGAGGGAATCAGAGGACAGGCTGGGTTCCTCATTTGTCTGATTCAAAGCCACCAAGGCGAGCTCCATGCCGATGTGGGTCCCAGCAAACATGCATTAGCTGGCCCGTAGTGCACATTGCAAGACGAGGAAAAGTAATTAAGAACAGGATAAACTAATGAAGTAATAAACGAATCCTGCGCATACATCTACTGAATATGCTATGGCCAAAAGATAACAAACGTAGTGTCAGCTAAATATAATCCATTGTGCACATATATTAACGCACTGCTCGTTTTACGTTTCGTGATAGAATTGAAGGTATATACATGCTTCGAAGAGGATAAATCACGCCATCTTCGGTCGTCGCATTCTATTAGCAATCTCGGAAATATCAATATTATTACATTGAGCTTGAAGCAGTGATCGCAAGGTCGCATTTTGCATAATACACTGTGCTAGTTTAGGAAAGCATAATACACCTGTAAAAAGTCCAGTTTCTTAGTATTAGGTTTAGTGGCTGCTTATCACTCAGCACCAAAATCCAACAGGTGATTACATAGCAAGGATCACAATCATCGTGATTTCATTTATAATAATTGTAAATATCACAAGTAGCGCTAGACAAGACCGACCTTCGTTAGTTCCCTTAATAGAGAAAAGCAGCGTTAATCCAATAATCTCTTCTAACTATACCTATTATTACACCTCTCGATCTGCTCTCCTCTGAAAATAGTAGCCTCTAAATAAGATAACAACATATTTGCAAGAGGTGTCAATGGCTAGCAGAGAAGAATTATAGCATACTATTAGGCAAGACTACATCGTATTATAGTGTTAGCCGTTCTACGGGACTGAGTGTATAATACCCAATGGTTTCACTTGTTTTAATTTTAAATTAGATGACTATTTGCGAGTCTCTGGCCCTAGGGGAAGAGAGTGGAATAGTCTCGGTATTAACGGCACGTTGGAGCACAGATTGAGTTTTGTGCCGTAACTTACTGTAGTGCCACTTACGATTCCCATATTTGAAGTTAGAAAGTTTACTTAATTAGGCGGAACGAACTTTATTCATCATTCTTGCTTAGCCAACAACATTAACATCCATTCACAGGCGGAGGCGGTAAGCAGCTGGTAGCTGTTTTCATTTTATTAAATCCAGCAGACCTAGCTACTTCAACATGCCTACCAGACCTAAATAGAAACCTAGGGAAAACCGGACTGGAAAGAGGATGTGCATAAATATGTAACTAATTTCCACGTACCATCGATTAGTTTATAACTTGGCTTGGGATGCTGCAGAGGACACCAGTTAGGGGGTTGAGATGACGTAAATATTAAGAGTTTTCGCACAGTTATACATGGGCACTAAATAAACATATAGAATAAGCATCCTCCGCTGCATCTCATTTCTACTCTCGTTCTTCTGCTATATGTTACTTTTATTAACATATATTCAGACTTCCTAGTTTATATTTACCTCTACGGCTAAACTCTAATACACTGGTAATACTCACGTTATCAGTATGAAGTTCTCTCCTATTGCTTTTACTATCGTCTTTGCCGTCTTTTCTCAGGTAAGCTTATCACAGAGCATTCTTATTCTTATCAGGCTACTAAGATATTATCCTATAGGCGCAACAAAGCGAGGTCTCCTCTATCAAAGACGCAGCATCCTCTGCCCTTAACAGTGCCACCGGCATTATCTCCTCTGCAAAAGGCGCAGCGTCCTCTGCCGCAGGTCAAGCCACCAGTATCGTCGAGAGCGCCCGTGGTTCCATCTCCAGTGCTATTGGGAGCAGGACCGGGAACGCTGCCTTGACTCCTACTAGCACCGAGGCTTCTCCATCTACGCATACTAATACTGCCGCGGCCGCCAGTATCAGCAGTAATATTGCCAGAATCAGCTCTGATATCCAGACTGCAAAGGGCGCCGTTTCCTCTTCTCTTCATTCAGCTCTGGCGTCGGCTAGCAGCGCTCTTGCGAGTGCCAAAGCAAGCGCGACCGCATCTGCGACGACTACAAGCACCTCTAAAGCCGCAGGTGCCATGCCTACTGCTGCCGTTGCCATGGGAGCCCTTATGGGCGGCGCTGCCGTTCTCGTTAATATGTAAATAGGCATGACGTTAACGATATACTACGGCTATATGCTCTGGTCAGGAATATAACTAAGGTTAGGCTGATAATTAGGCAAATGGTTATATGCATAGGACTATATAGGGCTTAAGACTTAGGATTAACAGGTATTAAAAAGGGTTTGTAAGGGCTGGATTAGTCTCTAATTATAGTATCTGCCGTTGCTAAAAGGTTAATTAGTTAGTAAATATATTTTTAATAGTATTTAAGAAAGGGCTTTTAGTTATTAAAACCTAATATAAGAGGATTATAAATATAATAAGTAAATATAATAAATAAATAAGTTAAGTTAGTAAAGGGTATAGGTTTATTAAATATAACTAATAAAACTAAATAGCTAAAGTATTAAGCTACTAGTTAGAGGATTTTTTTAGTTTATAATATAACCCCTAAAGCTAGGTATTTAAAAATAGTTAGAAATAGTGCTTTAGTATTATAACCCATATAGCTATATTATATAGCCCTTATAATTTCTACCTATTATAAAAGGATTACTTCTCCTAGTAATAATCCTCTTTTATTAGATTACTTAAATTATAATGCCTTAAGATTAAATTACTATAAATTATTAATAATCCTTAAAGATCTAACTTTTAGATTATTATTATTTTTTATTAAGCTATTAGGCTACTTTTAGTATATAAAATATATTTATTAATACTTTTATAAAACTTAACTTACTAGCTATTAATAAAGTATTTTTATATTAATAAGCTTAAAATATATTACTTAATTATTAAAAGATATAATACTTTATAATACTTAGTATTATACCTTATATAATTTATAAATATAAACCTAGTATAAACTAGTTTACTTATTTAGAAAACTTAATTATTATATATTAATAACTCTTATTTAAACTATACTATATAACGCTAAGTAATACTAATATAATAATACCTATTACTTTAATTTAGCCTTTTAACTTAAAATATACCTAATACTACTTATAGCAAGAAATGCCCCCTTACCTAAAAGATATTCTTATAGAGATTAATAATAAAAATAAATAAGATATTACCCCTACTTACCTAAGTACTTATAAAGGGGAAGTAATAAAGCTTAAATATAAGCTTAAATAACTTAGCTAGTAATATAATAACCTCCTAGAGACTGTAAAGAATAACTTTAATATAGCTAAAAATAAAATTAAAAACTTAAAAAAAAAGGTAATTAACCTTATTAAGATTATAAAGGTACTTAAAAAGGAAGTAGAAAATAGTTAGAAACTTTATAAGAAGTATATTAAATATATTATAGCCTTTATAATAACTAGAAAAGACCTTAAAGAAATCCTTTAACCTTACTAGCCTAAATTATTTAATAGTAATACTAATAAACTTTAAGGATTCCTTACTAGCCTTTAAAGCTATTAGATATATTATTTTATTTAGTTTATTATTAATAAACTAAGAGTTTAATATAATATAAGATTCCTTAAAGATAAAGTATTATAATTAATAAAACTTATTATTTAAGATTATATTAATAAACTATATAAAAAATAATAAGAAATAATAAAGTATATTTATAGGAAATATAAAAGCTTTAAATTAAAGCTTTAAAATACCTTTAAAGTAATAAATAAAAAATATATTATAGAAATAAAAATATAATAACTTAGGCAGAGAGGATTTACTATAAACTACCTTACTAAATACTATTACTAAGTAGCTAAGCTAAACTAGGGGGAAGAAGCCTATATAGTATAGGTATATTTAAGACTAAACTTAGAAGTTAAAGATATAATAATAAATATTAGACTTAAACTAAAGAACTTAAATAAATTAGTAAATATTATTATAGAAATTAATAATTAATAATATAAGTAATATTAAGAAAAGTAAGTAAAAAGGCATAAAGGATTATATAACCCTTAGTAAAATACTAATAAATAATAAAATACTAACTAGGAAATAAAGAAATATATTAATATATAATATAAAACTAAACTAGGACTTATAATACTTAAAGTAACTTAATATAATAATAATAAAAACCTTATAATATATTTAAAATTAAATATTATAATTATAATTAGTTTAGATATATTATTAATAAATATTTATAATTAAGAAATCTTAAAGACTTTAATTAAAGTAAGTAAATATTAATAATAATTAATAAATAAGAACTCTAGACTGCTATATAAACTTAAGTATTAAGGATAATATAAAGCCTATATAATATAATAGCTTTATATAAAGGCACTATATTAAAATATAAATAGTATCTATATTTAAATAGTTTAATTTATAAACTATAAGAAAAGTTTTTAATAAAAAAAGATATTAAAGTAGGAAATATATCTTAAATCCTAATACTATATAAGATAAAGGTAATTAAATACTAAAGGGAATAGTAAAAGAACTTAAAAAACTAATAATAAAAAAAGGAAAAAGATTATACTTATTATTTTAAGAAAAAGGAAGAAAAGAAATATAAGAAAATAAAATAAACTAAGACCCTTAAGATAATAAGGGAAGAAAGACCCTTAAAGTAGGAAATTAAAAGATACTTAAAAAACCTATAAGGAATAAAAACTACTTATAATATAAGAAAATAACTTAAAGTATTTAAGATAATTAATACTATCCTAATTTAAATAATAATTTAAGAAAAAAAGGAAATAATAAAGAAAGAACATAAAGCAGGAAATAAGGTCTATATATATTACTAATAATACTCCTAAAGTATAAAATATAAAGGAAGAGTAATATAAAATACTATATAATATCTCTATAAGGAAGATAAATAAATTAAAAATAAGTAAAAGTAACCTTATAAACTACTATTTAATAAAAATAATAATAAGATATATACCTTAATAGAAGATAAATACTTATAAGGAGCCAGGAAGTATAGTAATAATAATAAACTTAAAAGTTTATATATTTAAGCTTATTATATAATAAATACTATAAACCCTTATTATAAAGAGCTAAAATTTAATATTAAGGATATTATAAAAACATTCTTAATATATTTAAAATATAATAAATTATTATAGCTATTATATAATTAGTATTAGTATAAAAACTATAAATAAGATAAGGAAGATAATAATTACTTTCTTATTATAATTCCTAGTATACTTAATAATAACCCTTACTAAAAGATAAAAATAGAGAGATACTTAATATATTATTAATATAAAAATCTTAAAATAGCAAAATTATAATTTAATATATCTTATTATTAATAAATTTATAAAATAAAGGAACTTTATAAAGAGATTTATTAATCTTAATAACTAATTAAAGAAGTAAAAAAAAAATATAAAGATATAATTTAAATAAAATAATAAAGAACTTATAATCTAATTAACCTTAGGTATACTAAAGGGGATATAGATAGTAAAGAACTATTAGAGTTTAAAATATATAAGCCTAAAGACTTTAATATATATATTAACTTATAATACTTTTATAATTATAATAGCTATAGGGAATAGGAAGAGGAGAAATAATAAAGGTTAACTAAGAAAAATAACAAATTTAAGAACATAAAAGAAGGATACCTCTTTAAACCTACTAACTTAAAGAAAGGTTTTAACTAGGTTTTAATTAATAATAAATAATTTAGGCAAGGAACTATACTAAATAAATAAAATATAAAGCTAGAAAAATATTTTTAATAATACCTATATAATAAAGAATTTATAAATAACTCTTTAAAAGAAAAAGAATATATTAAGGATTATTATAAAAGAGTTAATTATAATAATAAAGAATATAAGTTACTTTATTAAATAAATTTAAGAAAAGCAATATGCCTTTTATAATAATAAAGTAAAGAAAAACTTTATTAATTTAAAAAGAGTTATAAAGCTAGAAATACTATAAAAGAAAAAATAACTATTATACTAACTTATTAATATAAAGAGGTAATATTTTAATTATAATAATAGTATAATAAATTAAGAGATTAATTACCTTAAGGTCTTTATTAAAGGAAAGAATTAAGGAATAAGTTTTAATATTATTTCTTTAAGAGAGGAAATAAATATCTTACTTAAAATAAACTAGCTTAAATAATAAAACCTATATATTAACTAAAGGACTGGCTAAGTTATATTTTCTAGTAACCCTAATAGTAATAGTAAAATAATTATAATAAGTAATAAGAAATCTTAATTTATAACTAAGAGGATTAATATAAACTAATATAAAGTAAAGACTTTACTACTTTTAAAAGGAATATAATATAAGTATAAGATAGGCTAAAGATAAAAATTAGAAATCCTAGGTATCTTTAAATAATAAGATTTATAAAAAAATAAAATTATAATATTAAGCCAGGATTAAGTTAAAAATATTCTAAAAGAATATTAAATATATAATAAACTATTTAAAAAAGAACTAAAAATAGAAGTCTTTAAATATAGTAAATAAGACTATAAAATTAATTTTATAAATAAAAGATTACTATTTTAAAAGCTATACTTACTTAATTAGAGAGAACTATAAGTTTAGTAAAAATATATTAATAAAATATAAAGGAAAGGTTATATTAGAAAATTAAGTTTATTAGCAGTATTAATAATATTTTTTATATTAAAGAAAAATAAAAAAAATTAATTAATTATAAACTATAAACTAGTTAATATATATATTATTAAGGATTAGACCTTACTTTTACTTATTATAAAACTTAAAGACTAATTATAAGGCAAAAAGATCTTTATAGCTCTAGACCTTAAAGGAGTATATAACCTTATTTATATTAAAGAAAGAGATAAATAAAAAATAGTATTTAAGACTAAATTTAAATTATTTAAATACCTAGTAATACCTTTTAATTTTATTAATATACCTATAATATTTTAATAAATAATTAATAATATACTTTAATAATACCTTAATATCTTTATAATATATTACCTTAATAATATCTTAATTTTCTTAAATAATAAAGAAGAATATAAGGAATATATCTATAAGGTCTTAAAAGTATTATAAGATATTAAGCTATT